TTCCTGCTTGCTTCCCCAAGACAAAGCAGAAGCCATGGAAAGACTGCAGGGACATTTCTTAGCTTCTCCTTACTACAGCAAACAATTTGTTCAAAGGACAAGAAAAGTGGTATTGCTTCAAGAGCTGTGCAACATTTGTAAACAATCAAGATTAATATAGTTAACTTTACAAGAAAGCTCAATTGTTCAAGTCAGTTGAAGAACACATCAGAAAACATTGTATAAAATGCCTTAAACTCATCTCTAGCAAGATTAAATTTGCAATACAATATTAGTTATCTTCCTTCAGGGGCTAATCCACCACTGCTACAGTGACTGTATGAATTACAGCTGTCACATGTGGAACTGCAAATTATTCTGACCATTCAGAATCACAGCTCAGGTCTCATCACCCAACACCATAGTAAAAATACTCTGGTGCACAAGCAGCACCTGTATGGACTTTGAAAAGCTTTGCCCAGTCCTAAAGGAAATGGTTGAAGGTGGTAAAGGTCAACATCGACATAGGGGATGAACATCCCCCTCTTTTCCAGTTGGCCAGGGTAAGACACCTGTGATATTTTTCACCCAACAAGAGGGGATCCAAAACCAAAACTATGACTCCCTGGAACAGAAGCAAGTGCACAGACATGTGCAGAAACTGAGGACAAATCCCCGTCTGAACTGAATTCAGTTCTGTTACATCTTGGGGTGGGGAAGCCCCCGCCACCCAATCCCCAGACTCCGGACTCACTGACGACAGGTTTGAAGAGCACTGGGGGAAATTCAGGTGCAAAAGGCACATGGTAAAAACCAGAAATTAAACTCTCAAAACCAGTACATTGAGAAACCAAACAAGAATTCACTAAAGCTCACTTCAGGTATTGAAAAAGTAGGAGTACAACTACACAGACATTAATAACAGGCACATGGTGTCATTCTAGGGGTGCCCTACATATGGACAGGAGTTAGACTCAATGGTCCTGATGGGTCCCTTCCAACTCAGTATATTCTATGATTGTAAGATAGTCTATGAACACACTACTCAAAACAAACCAAAAAAAAGCCATGTGCACACACAACATCTGCACTGGCATGCGTATTTAACTGAAAGATCTTAAGATGCACTTCGTAAAGTATGGATGCGCAAATTAAGAGCAGGGAGTTAGGATCAATCCATTTTCCCTTGTCCTGGTTTGAGCCACAGTGAAGCCAATTTTCCTTTTACTGATTTTTTTTTCCTTCAGTGAGCTCTCTTTCAACTAGCAGCAAGTGTTCTAGCCAGTGGACTGATAATGCTGGAATGTTTATGTTACTGTTAAGGTGTCAAGGTCACTTTGCTCTGCTTGTTGAATCTGCAGCCTCAGGTGCTTGAGAAGCAGAAGAGTCATGTCTACAGCCCCCTTTTACAGAGGAGTGGACTAAACAGACAGCAAAACTGACCAAAGGATTCTATTCCATCGATCTACATAAGCTCAGTGTAAGGTCAGGGATCATGGAAGTCAAGCCCCTTCCTGCTTCTTCTCTCCCTCTCTCCCATCCATGGCCAGTGTCCGGGGAGGACTCCATGTGTCCATCCCTGTAGATCCCCAGGCTCATGCATCTCTGCCCCTCATCACTCTCCCCTCAGCTCCTGGCTGCTCTGCCCTCTCTCTGGCAGCTCTGGGACATTTCAGGGTTGCTCACAGCTCAGGAGGTGCCCAGGGAGCTGCTGGGAGTGGGGGGAGGCAAGAAGGTTTTGCACATTGCTGAACACATTTGCATAAAATTGTACATATTTTCTTTTATCATTAGTATCTAATTAAAGCTGTCTAGTTTAGTTCTCAATCTGGAAAGTCTCTCTCTCCTTTATTCTCTCTCTCCTTTCCTACCTTGATGGGATGGGGAGGGAATCAAGAGCATTATTGTCACTGGTTTAATTGTCCATCCCGAGTCAAACTATGACAGCCCTACAGCAAACAGCATATTGTTTTACTCACTAACCCTACATGAAGGAAAAGAAACAAAATGTCATGAATGTACAGAACCCTCCAAAATTATAAGGTTGTTGGTTTGGGTTCTTTTTTAGACCCAGTAACACAGTATTAGATGACCTGCTTCTTTTGAAGGTAAGTCTGAAAAGGCAGGCATGCAAGTGTCTCTGTATATTTTTGAATTATGGAAAATAGTATACAAAACAGGCACTGCCTCAACAGTTTCAGACATTGGAATTTTATGACCAAAACAGACAAAAAGAAAGAAAAATTGACTCCAAAACCAAAACGTTCAATTTTATGGGGAGCATAAATGGATTTACTAGAGTAACGCAAAGGGAGGACCCCTGGTTTGCACAGGTGACTAGTAACAACAAACTAGTTAGTCAGCACTATATATGGCATTATATCTAGTCTTGGCTTTGTTTTCCTTTGTTTGTTTTTCCCTTGGAGCAGGGAAGGGGGAAACAGAGCACAGCAGCTTTGCATTTGCCTGTCCATACAGATTGGGTTTGTTTGAGGCTTTTTTTCCAGTTGTGTCTTTTCTGTTTTCTTTTGTTGTTGTTGTTTTTAAATGCAGTTGTACTTACCATCTTGGCACTGAAATGGCCATGAGCAAGCTCTCCTACAAAAGTCAGTTTCTTGGGTTGTGATCTCTGAAGAAGATGCTTTTTCACTCCTTCTATGGCTCTCATATAGTCTTCCAACAGCCTGTGAATTAAAAGCATTCCCAGTTGGCTCAAATACGCCAAGTCAGAATACATTTAATCATGGCAATCCTTTTGGAGATTGTTCTTTAGGCTGAATTAACAACGTATATCCAAATGCAAAAACTGAAAAACCCCCTCCAAGCCACCATCAGCTGGACACTAATTAGTAATCATTACCATGTAGCAATATTGGGGGTACTTGAGAAGTAAACCCTCAATGTAAGCATTAAAGACAAAATACCCTCAACTCTGCTTCTAGGTAGCAACCAGATTTTATTTCAGGAATCCTCAGAAGCACAGTAATTGAAATCACAGAAAATCTAGGCTGGTAAGGACCTCTTGGAGGTCTCCACTTCAACACTCTGGCTCTGAAGCAGGTTCAATTACATCAGGTTGCCTAAGGGTTTATCTGAGAAAATTTTAGTATCACCATCTAATGATGGAGATTCAATGACTGAGCAATCTTTTCCAATGTTTGGCCACTTTCATGTTGAAACATTATTTAATTAGAACTTCCCTCGTTTCAAAGTACTTTGGGGGTGGTAGTAGATGAGAAGCATGACATGAGCCGCCAGTGTGCGCTCACAGCCCAGAGAGCCAGCTGCATCCTGGGCTGCATCAAAAGACCAGCAGGGCCAGGGAGGTGATTCTGCCCCTCTGCTCTGGTGAGACCCTACCTGGAATACTGTGTACGGTTCTGGTGCCCTCAGCACCAGAAAGTTATAGACCTGTTGGACACGGTCCAGAGAAAGGCCACCAATATGATCAAAGACCTGGAGCAGCTCTGCTATGAAGGCAGGCTGAGAGAATTGGGGCTATTCAGCCTAGAGAAGAGAACTCTCCAGGGAGACCTTATAGCACCTTCCAGTACTTGAAAGGGGCCTACAGGAAAGCTGGGGAGGGGCTTTCCATCAGAGAAGATAGTGATAGGACAAGAGGTAATGGTTTCAAACCGAGAGAGGAGAGATTTAGGTTACATATTAGGAAGAAATTCTTCACTCTAAGATTGGTGAGGAACTGGAATGGGTTTCCCAGGGAGGTTGTTGATACCCCATCCCTGAAGGTTTTTAAGACCAGGTTGGACAAAGTTTTGTGCAACCTAGTCTAGTGGTAGGGTTCCCTGCTCATGGCAGGGGGGTTGGAACTAGATGATCTTTAGGTTTGCCTGTCCATACAGATTGGGTTTGTTTGAGGCTTTTTTTCCAGTTGTGTCTTTTCTGTTTTCTTTTGTTGTTGTTGTTTTTAAATGCAGTTGTACTTACCATCTTGGCACTGAAATGGCCATGAGCAAGCTCTCCTACAAAAGTCAGTTTCTTGGGTTGTGATCTCTGAAGAAGATGCTTTTTCACTCCTTCTATGGCTCTCATATAGTCTTCCAACAGCCTGTGAATTAAAAGCATTCCCAGTTGGCTCAAATACGCCAAGTCAGAATACATTTAATCATGGCAATCCTTTTGGAGATTGTTCTTTAGGCTGAATTAACAACGTATATCCAAATGCAAAAACTGAAAAACCCCCTCCAAGCCACCATCAGCTGGACACTAATTAGTAATCATTACCATGTAGCAATATTGGGGGTACTTGAGAAGTAAACCCTCAATGTAAGCATTAAAGACAAAATACCCTCAACTCTGCTTCTAGGTAGCAACCAGATTTTATTTCAGGAATCCTCAGAAGCACAGTAATTGAAATCACAGAAAATCTAGGCTGGTAAGGACCTCTTGGAGGTCTCCACTTCAACACTCTGGCTCTGAAGCAGGTTCAATTACATCAGGTTGCCTAAGGGTTTATCTGAGAAAATTTTAGTATCACCATCTAATGATGGAGATTCAATGACTGAGCAATCTTTTCCAATGTTTGGCCACTTTCATGTTGAAACATTATTTAATTAGAACTTCCCTCGTTTCAAAGTACTTTGGGGGTGGTAGTAGATGAGAAGCATGACATGAGCCGCCAGTGTGCGCTCACAGCCCAGAGAGCCAGCTGCATCCTGGGCTGCATCAAAAGACCAGCAGGGCCAGGGAGGTGATTCTACCCCTCTGCTCTGGTGAGACCCTACCTGGAATACTGTGTACGGTTCTGGTGCCCTCAGCACCAGAAAGTTATAGACCTGTTGGACACGGTCCAGAGAAAGGCCACCAATATGATCAAAGACCTGGAGCAGCTCTGCTATGAAGGCAGGCTGAGAGAATTGGGGCTATTCAGCCTAGAGAAGAGAACTCTCCAGGGAGACCTTATAGCACCTTCCAGTACTTGAAAGGGGCCTACAGGAAAGCTGGGGAGGGGCTTTCCATCAGAGAAGATAGTGATAGGACAAGAGGTAATGGTTTCAAACCGAGAGAGGAGAGATTTAGGTTACATATTAGGAAGAAATTCTTCACTCTAAGATTGGTGAGGAACTGGAATGGGTTTCCCAGGGAGGTTGTTGATACCCCATCCCTGAAGGTTTTTAAGACCAGGTTGGACAAAGTTTTGTGCAACCTGGTCTAGTGGTAGGGTTCCCTGCTCATGGCAGGGGGGGTAGAACCAGATCATCCTTTGCGGGCCTTC